GTCACAGGGGGCACCCACATACTTAAAGTCAGCCAGCACAGCTTGGGCACAGCTAGTGGATCAAGAGCACATTATACATTTTTAAACAGAATAGCAAGAGCATGCAAGTCCTTCTGTAAGCATCTAATTAAAAAGAAAAAAACATTGGCTTTAATGTCACTTTGATACCTACATGTCCCACTGTGCAATCTGACAGTCCGCACTCTCTTGCTGGAGAATTTAGACACAGTCCATCTTTTCAAAAATTTAATAATTGCACCCACATTAATGAAAAACAACAAATGAGCATTTGTTATATTTTTGCATAGAAGCCTGCAGAGCATTGCAAATTGCATCATGGGCGCAGGCTCCTGCATTGTTTACATCCCAGGTCTACATGGAGGTATGGACCTACTGTCATGGGGCTGGCAAAGGTAAAAATGATCTACAAGTGCGGCTATATCATTTTTTAGTAGATATCAGTTTTTGCAGGGGGTTCCCTGAGATCTGAATTTTATTTTGAGGGTTCCTCCAGGAGAAAAAGGTAGAGAAAGGCCGAGCTATACGCCCATTTACAGGATGGACCCTTTTGTAAAAAAACAGCACATATATTCACACAGATCTGTGCTATCTAGGGCAGCCTTTCTCAACCTTTTTATTGTGGATTAACCCTTCAAATAATTTTGATGAATCAAGAAACCCCTGATAAAAATTATTATATCGATATTATATTAGATATGTATTATTAGATTTATTATATACATATTATAATACTAGATTATACTACACTATATTTTACTATATTACATTACTATTAAAAGCTTTAAATAAAACACACTCTTGTGATCAGTGGAGAGATACCCCCTAGATTGGTGATCAATGGAGAAATATTCCCCTACAATGGAGGCCAGTGAATAAATCCCCCTCTACATTGGAAGTCAGTGAATAAATCCCCCTTACATTGGTGGTCAGTGAATAAATCCCCCCCTACATTGGTGGTCAGTGAATAAATCCCCCTTACATTGGTGGTCAGTGAATAAATCCCCCTTACATTGGTGGTCAGTGAATAAATCCCCCTTACATTGGTGGTCAGTGAATAAATCCCCCCCTACATTGGTGGTCAGTGAATACATACCGCCTACATTGGTGGTCAGTGGAGAAATACCCCTTAGATTTGTGATCAGTGGAAAAATACCCTCTACATTAGTTGTTGGTAGAGAAATTCCAACTGCATTGGAGGTTAGTGAATAGATGCCTCCCTACATTGGAGGACAGTGGAAGAAATACCCCCCCACATTGGTGGTCCATGGGAGAAATACCTCCTGACATTGGTGGTCAGTGAAATACCCTCTACATTGGTGTTAAGTGGAAGAAATACCCTCTACATTGGTGTTAAGTGGAAAGTGGAAGAAATACCTCCTACATTGGTGGTCAGCGGAAGAAATACCCTCTACATTGGTGGTCAGTGGAGAAATACCCCCTACATTGGTGATCAGTCTAAAAAACACCCCCTACATTGGTGGCCAGTGGAAAAAGTACCCTCTACATTGGTTTTCAGTGGAGAAATACCCCCTACATTGCAATGGAAGAAATACCTTCTACATTGGTTTTCAGTGGAGAAATACCCCCTACATTGGTGGTCAGTGGAAGAAAAACCCTCTCCATTGGTGGTCACTGGAGAAATATCCCCTACATTGGTGGTCAGTGGAAGAAATACCTCTATATTGGTGGTCAGTGGAGAGAAATACCCCCAACGTTGGTGATCAGTGGAAGAAATACCCTCTAAATTGGTGATCAGCGGAGAAATACCCCCTACATTGGTGGTCAAGGAAGAAATACCCTCTCCATTGGTGGTCACTAGAGAAATACCCCCCCTAAATTGGTGGTCAGTGGACTAAATACCATCTACATTTTTGAAAAGTGGAGACATACCCTCTACATTGGTGATCAGTTGGATAAATACCTTCTACATTGGTGATCAGTGGGAGAAAAAAACCCCTACATTGGTTATCAGTGGGAGAAAAAACCCCTACATTGGTTACATTGGTTATCAGTGGGAGAAATACCCCATACATTGGTGATCAGTGGAGAAATATCCCATACATTGGTGATCAGTGGAGAAATATCCCATACATTGGTGATCAGTGGAGAAATATCCCATACATTGGTGATCAGTGGAGAAATACCACCTACATTGGTGGCCAGTGGGAGAAATACCCTCTACATTGGTATTTAGTGGACAAAGACCCCTCACATTGGTGGTCAGTGGAAAAATACCCCTTGGTATTGGTTTTCAGTAGAGAAATTCTCCCTACATTGGAGGTCATTGAATAAATGGCACCTGCATTGGGAGTCATTATTATTATTATTATTATACAGGATTTATATAGAGCCAAAGGTTTGCTCAGCGCTTTACATTATAGTGGGAGACAATACAGCAACAATGCAATTCAATACAAGAGGGAATTGAGGGCCCAGCTCCTTGGAGCTTACAATCTAGGAGACATGGGAGAAATTTCATAGGTGATCCATGGAGAAATACCCCCTACATTGGTTGTCAACAGAACCCCCCCCCCATTGGAGGCCAGTGAATAAATACCCCGTACATTTGAGGTCATCAAAATAAATACCCCCTACATTTGAGCTCAGTGAATAAATACCCCCCTACATTGGAGGTCAGTGCATAAATACCCCCCTACCTTGGAGGTCATTGAATAAATACCCCCTACATTTGAGCTCAGTGAATAAATACCCCCCTACATTTGAGCTCAGTGAATAAATACCCCCTACATTGGAGGTCATTGAATAAATACCCCCCTACATTTGAGCTCAGTGAATAAACACCCCCTACATTTGAGGTCAGTGAATAAATACCCCCCTACATTGGAAGTCAGTGAATAAATACCCCCCTACATTTGAGCTCAGTGAATAAATAACCCCTACATTTGAGCTCAGTGAATAAATAGCCCCTACATTGGAGCTCAGTGAATAAATAGCCCCTACATTGGAGCTCAGTGAATAAATACCCCCCTATATTGGAGCTCAGTGAATAAATACCCCCCTACACTGGAGCTCAGTGAATAAATACCCCCCCTACATTGGAGGTCAGTGCATAAATACCCCCCTACCTTGGAGGTCAGTGCATAAAACCCCCCTACATTTGAGCTCAGTGAATAAATACCCCCTACATTGGAGCTCAGTGAATAAATACCCCCTACATTGGAGCTCAGTGAATACCCTCCTACATTGGAGCTCAGTGAATAAATACCCCCCTACATTTGAGCTCAGTGAATAAATACCCCCCTACATTGGAGCTCAATGAATAAATACCCCCCTACACTGGAGCTCAGTGAATAAATACCCCCCTACATTGGAGGTCAGTGCATAAATAACCCCCTACCTTGGAGGTCAGTGCATAAATACCCCCTACATTTGAGCTCAGTGAATAAATACCCCCCTACATTGGAGCTCAGTGAATAAATACCCCCTACTTTGGAGCTCAGTGAATAAATACCCTCCTACACATTGGAGCTCAGTGAATAAATACCCTCCTACATTGGAGCTCAGTGAATAAATACCCCCCTACATTGGAGGTCAGTGAATAAATAGCCCCTACATTGGAGCTCAGTGAATAAATACCCCCTACATGTGAGCTCAGTGAATAAATACCCCCCTACATTGGAGGTCAGTGAATAAATAGCCACCCCCCTACATTTGAGCTCAGTGAATAAATAGCCCCCACATTGGAGCTCAGTGAATAAATAGCCCTGGAGGTCCGTCAATAAATACCCCCTACATTTGAGCTCAGTGAATAAATACCCCCCTACATTGGAGGTCATTGAATAAATACCCCCCTACATGTGAGCAATAAAATAGCCCCTACATTGGAGCTCAGTGAATAAATACCCCCTACATTTGAGCTCAGTGAATAAATAGCCCCCTACATTGGAGCTCAGTGAATAAATACCCCTACATTGGAGGTCCGTGAATAAATACTCCCCTTTGAGCTCAGTGAATAAATACCCCCTACATTTGAGCTCAGTGAATAAATACCCCCCTACATTGGAGGTCAGTGAATAAATACCCCCCTACATTTGAGCTCAGTGAATAAATACCCCCCTACATGTGAGCTCAGTGAATAAATAGCCCCTACATTGGAGGTCCGTGAATAAATACCCCCCTACATGTGAGCTCAGTGAATAAATAGCCCCTACATTGGAGGTCCGTGAATAAATACCCCCCTATATTTGATCAGTGAATAAATATCCCCTAGCTCAGTGAAATAAATAGCTCCCCCCCTACATGGAGAGTCAGTGAATAAATAAGCCCCTACATTGGAGGTCCGTGATTAAATACCCCCCTACATGTGAGCTCAGTGAATAAATAGCCCCTACATTGGAGGTCCGTGAATAAATACCCCCCTAATAAATATCCCCCCCTACATTGGAGGTCAGTGAATAAATAGCCCCCCCCTACATTGAGCTCAGTGAATAAAAAGCCCCTACATTGGTCAGTGAATAAAATTACCCCCCTACATTTGAGCTCAGTGAATAAATAGCTCCTACATTGGAGGTCATGAATAAATAGCTCCTACATTTGAGCTCAGTGAATAAATAGCTCCTACATTGGAGGTCAGTGAATAAATACTCCCCTACATTTGAGCTCAGTGAATAAATAGCCCCTACATTTGTTGGCAGTAAAGACATTCTCAGTACATTGGAGGTCAGTGGAAAAACACCCTATAATCATTACAAGTGGGAGATCAGTGTGTCATTACTAAAAGGTCCCCTAGCAACATCTGGAAGAATCCTGTTTGAGGAAGGCAGGGATCTGAGTCAACAGAGAACAAGGAAGAATGGCAATGCCCTCCTCAAACATGGCGCCACCAGCCTTATTCTCCACCCCCATGCAGACGTCACGATACCGTAGAAGACATGTTCTCGTGATAGTCTCCAAGCTGTTTCCGGTCTCTGGTGTGAACAGTCTGCGGCCTTTTTGTATCCAGGCTCCAGACTTAAACCATGGGAGTCCCGGCCTTCTTCCGCTGGCTGAGTCGCAAATACCCGTCCATCGTCGTCCACTCGGTGGAGGAGAAGGTGAGCGCCCGGCGGCCATGTCCGTCTTGTTACTGCCGTGTGTCTCGGGGAGGGGGAGGAAGGCCCGGCTATTATCACCTGGGTCACATGGCCCTGTGTGCGCAGCGCGACTGGATTTCTTGCTTACATTCAGGGAGAAGGCGGCATATAGTCCATAGAGGGGAGCCCCGTGCATAGAGCACAGCCGGCCCTGCTCTGTACTGGATCCTCCATAGAGGACGGGCTCACGTGTATATATAGGGGCTCATAGAGGAGCTATTCCACCAGACCGTTGTGTGTAATGTGAGCCGTTTGCCGTGTTGGGATTCCTTGTGTCTGGGATTCCTCTTGTGAGATAGCAGTGCGCTTCCTGTATGAGAGTGCGTGCCTAGGCTCTCCAGTGCGCTTCCTGTATGAGAGTGCGTGCCTAGGCTCTCCAGTGCGCTTCCTGTACAGTGCCTTGAAAAGTATTCATACCCCTTGACATTTTCCCTATTTTGTCGTATTACAACCAAAAATGTAAATGTATTTTATTGGGATTTTATGTGATAGACCAACACAACGTGTCACATAATTGTGAAGCGGAAGGAAAATGATAAATGGTTTTCAAACTTTTTTTTTTTTTTTTTTACAAATATCAGAAAAGTGTGGTGTGCATTTGTATTCAGCTTCCTTTACTCTGATACCTTTAATTAAATCTAGTGGAACCAATTGCCTTCACCTAATTTAGTAAATGGAGTCCACCTGCGTGTAGTTTAATTTCAGTATAAATACAGCTGTTCTGTGAAGCCCTCAGAGGTTTGAGAGAACATTAGTGAACAAACAACATCATGGAACACAGCAGACAGGTCAGGGATAAAGTTGTGGAGAAGTTTAAAGCAAGGTTAGGTGATTAAAAAAAAAAATGTGGGCAGCACAGTGGCTAAATGGTTAGCACTTCCGCCTGGCAGTACTAGGGTTGTTGGTTCGAATCCCAGTCACGGCACCACCTGCCTGGAGTTTGCATGTTCTCCCTGTGCCTGCGTGGGTTTCCTCCGGGTACTCCGGTTTCCTCCCCACACTCCAAAGAGATGCTGGTAGGTTAATTGGATCCTGTCTAAATTGTCCCTAGTATGTGTATGTATGAATGTGAGTTAGGGACCTTAGATTGTACGCTCCTTGAGGGTTAGGGACTGATGTGAATGTACAATATATATGTGTAAAGCGCTGCGTAAATGGACGGCGCTATATAAGTACCTGAAATAAATAATAAATTAAAAAAAAATCTCCCAAGCTTTGCACATCTCACGGAGCACTGTTCAATCCATCATCTGAAAATGGAAAGAATATGGCACAACTGCAAACCTACCAAGACATGGCTGGCAACTAAACTGACAGGCCGGGCAAGGAGAGCATTAATCAAAGAAGCAGCCAAGAGACCCATGGTAACTCTGGAGGAGCTGCAGAGATCCACAGCTCAGATGGGAGAATCCATCCACAGGACATCTATTAGTCTTGCACTCCATAAATCTGGCCTCTATGGAAGAGTGGCAAGAAGAAAGCCATACGAAGTCCCGTTTGTGAGAAGCCATGTGGGTGTCACAGCAAACATGTGGAAGAAGGTGTTCTGGTCAGATGAGAGCAAAATTGAACTTTTTGGCCTAAAAGCAAAATGCTATGTGTGGCGGAAAACTATCACTGCACATCGCCCTGAACACACCTTCCCCACTGTGAAACACGGTGGTGGCAGCATCATGTTGTCGGGATGTTTTTCTTCAGCAGGGACGGGGAAGCTGGCCAAAGTTGATGGGAAGATGGATGCAGCCAAATACAGGGCAATCTTAGAAGAAAACCTGTTGGAGTCTGCAAAAGACTTGACTGGGGTGGAGGTTCACCTTCCAGCAGGACAATGACCCTTAACATACAGCCAGAGCTACAATGGAATGGTTTAGATCAGTGGTCTCCAAACTGGCCTGGGGGCCGAATGTGGCCCTTTGCTTGCTTTTATCTGCCCCTATTCCTCCCACTGATACAAGACATTATTCTGTCAGCTGACACCAACAATGGGGCACCATTTCTCCCGTTGGCACCACCTATGGGGCACCATTTCTCCAAATGATGCAAACGATAATGCGCTATTCCTCAACCTAATACCAAATGTGTTGTTTACTCCCACTGATGCCAGGAAAATTTCCACTCCCACTGGCCAAAGTCTGGCCTCCTTGAAGTCTGATAGACAAAAAACTGACCCTTTTGTTTAGAAAGTTTGGAGACCCCTGGTTTAGATCAAAGCATATTCATGTGTTAGAATGGTCAAGTCCAGACCTAAATCTTATTGAGAATCTGTGGCAAGAGTTGAAAATTGCTGTTCAGACTTTCTCCATCCAATCTGACAGAGCTTGAGCTATTTTGCAAAGACTAGGCTCTCCAGTGCGCTTCCTGTATATGAGAGTGCGTGCCTAGGCTCTCCAGTGCGCTTCCTGTATATGAGAGTGCGTGCCCAGGCTCTCCAGTGCGCTTCCTGTATATGAGAGTGCGTGCCCAGGCTCTCCAGTGCGCTTCCTGTATATGAGAGTGCGTGCCCAGGCTCTCCAGTGCGCTTCCTGTATATGAGAGTGCGTGCCCAGGCTCTCCAGTGCGCTTCCTGTATATGAGAGTGCGTGCCCAGGCTCTCCAGTGCGCTTCCTGTATATGAGTATGTGCCAAGGCTTCAGTGCCTCCTAGCTCTGTCTGCGGTGTGAGTTAAGGGACCTTTTCACATTGCTGTTGTGCAGTTTTCCCGCAGCACAGTGTACCTGTGGTCTTTGCGCGGGTTACTTGTACTTTGCTTTAGACGTCTAATCTGCCCTACAGTTTAAGTGTGTTTTTTTTTGAAAGTGCACTTTCAGAAGATGCACCAAATCTGCCTCATCTAATAGATGTCTAGGGAAGAGCATGGCCTAACCTGCATGAAAACCTCAGGGGTTACACAGAGCTTAAATAAATCCTTCTACATCAGTTGTATCTCTCTATCGACTGTCTTCTCTACATCTGGTAAAAGTGATGAATTTATACAGCTTGTTTAAGAGTTCAGAAAAAAGGCGTCTGAGAGCTGTAATTACATTCTGCAGAGCTCAGTGAGGAGAACTCTGAGAGCTGATTGGAGGAAAGTTTTCCTTTAAACGTGTTTTTGTTTAGCGGAAAAAAAACAGTGGTGATTACCACAAAAAAGATCTATTTGTGTAAAAAAAATTATATAAATGTAATTTGTGTGCAGTGTTGCATGACGAACAGTTGTCAGTTGTTGTTCAAAGTGCTTAGGAAGGCCCATTAAAATTATTAGACTGCCCTAAAATGCATGTATGCTCAGACACACACGGCCCTGCCTGGTGTGAACAAGGCTTTAGGCTGAACCCCAGGTATGGGATATTTTACAAATGATTCTGTTGGTTCAGCTTGGACCCATGTAACTATGTACACGGCTCAATAAAAAAAAATGAAAGGAAGATTTTGAAAACACATCAGATCTGAATGGGGAAAATATCACTGGATAATATGTTAGGACCGTAAGGATGCCCCATGATTTGATTTTCGGGGGGGTCTTTGAATTTTGTCACCTGTAGATTGATTTTTCATTTCCATCAAAGTGAAAAAATTATGCAGCAGGCTAGTCTATTTTGCTGAAATTTTCATTGCAGCAACTCAAAATGGTACTCAGTAGTTTGTATGGCCCCCATGTGCTTGTATGCATGCCTGACAATGTCGGGGCATGCTCCTAATGAGACAGCGAATGGTGTCCTGGGGTATTTCCTCTAAGATCTGGACCAGGGCATCACTGAGCTCCTGGACAGTCTGAGGTGCAACCTGGAGAGGTTGGATGGACCGAAAGATGATATCCCAGAGGTGTTCTATTGGGTTTAGGTCAGGCGAGCGTGGGGGCTATTCGGTGGTATCAATTCCTTCATCTTCCATGAACTGTCTGCATACTCTCGCCACATGAGGCCGGGCATTGTCGTGCACCAGTGTAGGGTCTGACAGTGGGTCCATCCCGATACCTAATGGCAGTCGGGGTGCCAGTGTCTAGCCTGTAGAGGTCTGTGCGTCCTTCCATGGATATGCCACCCCAGACCATCACTGACCCACCACCAAAACAGTCGTGCTGAACACTCTTACAGGCAGCATAATGTTCTCCACGGCTTCTCCAGACCCTTTCATGTCTGTCACGTGCTCAGGGTGAACCTGCTCTCATCTGTGAAAAGTGTAGGGAGCCAGTGGTGGACCTGCCAATTCTGGTGTTCAGTGGTAAATGCCAATTGAGCTCTATGGTGCCAGGCAGTGAGTACAGAGCACACTCGAGGACGTCGGGCCCTCAGGCCACCTTCATGAAGTCTGATTCTGTTTAGTCAGACATTCACACCAGTGGCCTGCTGGAGGTCATTTTGTAGGGCTCTGGCAGTGCTCATCCTGTTCCTCCTTGCACAAAGGAGCAGATACCGGTCCTGCTGATGGGTTAAGGACCTTCTATGGCCCTGTCCAGCTCTCCTAGAGTAACTTCCTGTCTCCTGGAATCTCCTCCATGCTCTTGAGACTGTGCTGGGAGAAAACACAAAGCTTCTGGCAATGGCACCTATTTATGTGCTGTCTTGGAGGAGTTGGACTGCTTGTGCAACCTCTGTAGGATCCAGGTATCGCCTCATGCTACCAGTAGTGACAATGACCCTGGCCAAATGCAAAACTATTGAAAAACAGAAAAGATGAGTAGGGAAAAAAATGTCAGTGGCCTCCACCTGTAAAACCAGTCCTGTTTTTGGGGGTAGTCTCATTGTTGCCCGTCGAGTGCACCTGTTAATTTTATTAACACCAAAGCAGCTGAAACTGATTAACAACCCCCTCTGCTACCTAACTGAGCAGATCAAGATCTCAGGAGTTTAACTAACTTGATGCTGTACTCTGATTAAAAAGTGTTCCTTCAAATTTTTTTGAGCAGTGTATATACCATACCTGGCTTATCTCCATGGAAGCTGGAAATCACTGAAGTGCTCTCCACGTGCTTCTGGGTCCAG